CAAGAATGTCGAAATTTAACATCGCAAAAATATTCGGACAGTGAATAACTTACATAAATTTTATATAAAATATACATATTTTTTGAACAGTATTAATATTTCGTAGGTTGACCCTTTTGTCTTATTACTTCCTGTAATCGTTTGGGCATATTGGATATAATTTTATTTAAATATTCCTGTGTTATACATTTCCATTCTTGTAATAAACGTTCTTTTAATTCTTTTATTGTTTTTATGGGTGTTGTTCGAATTTTACGATCCAATTGATCCCATAAATTCTCAATAGGATTTAAATCTAGCGATTGAGGCGGAGGGTGTAACACTTTAGGACAGGTATATAGTAAGTATTCCTGTACGATTCTCGATTTGTGCTTAGGATCGTTGTCCTGATAAAACTTAAAACTATTGCGTATGTTCATATTAACAGCACTTTTGATTAAATTTTGTTTCAATAAGTCTAAATATTTCATCTTATCTACAATGCCGTCGATAAAAACTAGTTCACCAACACCTGCAGTTGAAATGCAACCCCACACCATTACACTGCCGCCGCCGTGTTTCACTGTTGCTCTCAAATTTTTTAATTTCAATTCTTCGTTGACTTTACGCCATATCGTTCTTCGTCCATCTGACCCAAAAAGATTAAATTTGCTTTCATCCGCAAATATTACATTATTCCACCATGTTTGGTCTTTAGAAACGTAGTCTTTAGCAAAATTTAATCGTTTCTTACGATTCACTTCGTTTATATATGGTTTTCTTCGTGGAACCCTGCCGTTATATCCATGGTTTTTTAATACCCGACGCACTGTGTCGGGATGCACTTTCTTTCCAGATTCTTGGAATAATTCGGCAGCTAGTTTTATAGCACTTTCTTTAGGATCATTCTTTATTTTTCTAACAATCTTGCGTTCTTCGCGAGAATCTAATAATTTTGGACGTCCCTTTTGCCGAATTGAATCGATTCGATCTTCATGAATATACCTGTGTACAATATCTGCTACAGTACTCTTGCTTACATTTAGCAATTTGGCTATTTCTCGATATGATTTTCCCTTTTCTTTGTGGTAAATAACCAGTTGTCGAATTTCAAAGGATGTATTTTTGCCTTTTCGTCCCATATTCACTAATAATACGTCTACTATTAACGAAGTCAATAACAGTACTGACTCTTGGATGCACGCTAGACGTTATGTTTACAAACAATGTACACTAGCAAAATAACCGACTGGATCCAACGACTTACTACAGCCAGTAAACTGTTGTGTCCGAATATTTTTGCGATGTGAAATTTCGACATTCTTGACTTTATCACTTATTTTGCAAAAAACTATGTGTGTGAAATAAATAAAGTTTATGTTTCTATTAACTACAATAAGTATTTTAATATATTACGAAAAAAACAATTCAATAACACTATTGTAAACAAATATATACAGCAATAATCTCGCACACAGCATGGTGTCCGAATATTAATGCGAGTCACTGTACTTAGAAGCAGAATATGATCTTTTATTTCATTTTCTTGCTGTGCTGTGAAAACTGGTTTTCTACCCATTTTGTTAAAAATGACTGAACGAGATCTGTCTGTTTTCTTCACATAATCTGAGAGTGTCATTACGGGAATGTTGTATAAAACAGCAGTTTTCCGTAATTTAGCTCCACCTTGTACAGCCTTCACAGCGTCTTTCATTTTTCGTGGCGACCAGGTGCATGTTTTGCTTGGAGCCATCTAAAACAATAAATAAATCAACATATTGTAGACAATTGGAGAGGTGGTAGGAAACTTTTACACTCACAATTCGGGTTAAATTGTTCTTTATTTTATAACAATGTACAGACCGACAAATCAACGGAGATCTGAATAAAAAAACTGACTGACTGACTGTGACTGACACTCTGACTATCTCTGATTCTGACTCTCTCGGGCGATCGGGGCCCGGGCTTATATACCCCCAGACCCGATCGTCTTTTGGCTCTTTCGTACCGGGTGCAAAACTTCCCGGCGCGTGCCGTGGAACCTTCTCGATCGTTCGACGATGTTCCACGGACACGTGCAGCCGATCGACTTTTGCACCCGGTCCGAACTGGCGGCCCGCGGCCCACGGCCCACGGCCCCCTTTGACGGTCTACAAAGTAAAACAAATCTAATGGTCTACAGTTCGGCCATCCTGACCTGTTAGCCGTCTCGGCTAACCCGATCGCAAAAGGCCAATGTCATGTCGCGATATACGGTTTCATATTGTCCGGTGATAAAACGCCGCTGTAAGGCCTTTGGCTTATTTGGAATCCGTCAATATCCCCAATTACATATCGGTCGCAATCTAAAACTTTCTTTACCTCGTATGGCCCCTTAAACTTAGGCAATAGTTTTTTGTTTACGCCCGCTGACGTATCGACATTTTTAATCATGACGTAGTCTCCTACGTTGTACACAAATGCCTCCTTATGTTTCCTATTATAATAATTTTCATTGATTGTTTGTATTTTCCGAATGGCTTCCGCTGCCTTCCCGCGGATTTCCTCTAAGTCCCTATTTTCGCTTGAGGCCGTCCGTATCAAAAGCCGCAGGTAGTCGTGTGGCTTTCCTGCCTGCTCAACGCCAAACAATAATCGACTAGGCGTGTCTTTCGTCGCTCGGCAAACTGTGTTGTTTATCGCAAATTCGACCTGTTCAAGCACACGGTCCCATTTATCTGGGGTTTCGCTCAACTTTGCTATCATCGGAGTTATTACACGATTGAACCGCTCTATTTGCCCATTTGCCCGAGGTGTACCAACCGCAATCAAAATATGGCCAATGCCCTCGGTCTCTAAAAAGTCTTTAAAACCGCTTGATGTGAACGCGGTTCCGCGATCGGTAATTACTCGTTCCGGTCTGCTGTAGGCCCGGAAATATTCCCTTAAAAACCTGATTACCTCTTGGGAACCGGTTGACTTACATGGGTATAGTTTAATGAATTTTGTAAACCCGTCAACTATAGCCAGTATATGTTTGTAACCCCTCCCTGTCTTCTCTAGTGGCCCTAAATGGTCCAGATGGATGGTGTGAAATGGCACGCTTTCTTTAGGTAGGCTATGCAGATGTCCCGTCTGTTTACCATCCGATGGCGAAAATTCAATACATCGCAAACAATTACAAATATACTCCTTAACCTTTCCCCGCAGGTTCGGAAACCAATACAATTTCCCGAGATTACTAACAACTTTGTCTTGCCCTACGTGCCCGAGATCGTCGTGACACGTACGAATCACGTTATCTTCCATCGATCGCGGTACGTAAAATAGCAGCTTCTTTGTCCTATCTTTCCGGTACACGAGTCCGTCGCGAAGTTCGAATTGCTTTAACTCCCCCTTTTCCAACTGGTCTCGAATTTTTCCCTATCTCGGGATCTTTATTTTGACACACCGACAGTGTTTGCTCGAAGGTATTGCCCTCAATTACTAGCACGCTGTGACAACGGCTGAGCGCATCTACGTGATTCATTCTTTTCCCCGGTCTATGGTGAATTTCGTAGTCGAAATCCTGCAGGTACAAAGCCCAACGAGAAATTCTTGGATTCACGTTCTGCTTACCTAGTGTTAAACGGAAGCTATCGCAATCGGTAATAATTCGGAACCGTATTCCGCTCAGGTAGACTTTAAAACGTTTTAGCGCGTTCACTACCGCGAGGCACTCCAGCTCGAAGCTATGGTACTTCGCTTCCGTCGGTGTTGTCCGTTGGCTATAATACGCGATCGGTTTAAAATATCCGTCTCCCTGCTTCTGGAGCAACATTGCGCCAAATCCCGATGCGCTAGCGTCACAGTGAAGTTCCGTTTCGGCGGTCGGGGAGTAAATAGAGAGAATTGGCTTACTTGCTAATTGCCTTTTCAGGGTCTCGAAGGCCTCGTTTTCTTTTTCCCCGAATATGAACTTAACCCCTTGCTTAACCAAATTGTATAAAGGCTTCGCAATAAGCGAGAATCCTGATATGAAACGACGGAAGTAGCTAGCGAGGGATACAAAACGGAGCGCATCCTTCGCGTTGCGCGGTATCGGATAATTGATAACAGACTCAATATTGCTGTCGTTCGGTCGAATCCCTTGAACGTCCACTCGGTATCCTAAATAATCGATTGCTGTCTGCGCGAAAGTACATTTATTCAATTTAAAAACTAATCGGTTTTTCCCGGCAATTTGGAAGACTTCCCGTAAAATTTGCAAATGTTCGTCAAGAGTTTCGGTGGCAATCAAAAAGTCGTCGAAATAGACTAGCACCTTCCCTGTTCTGATTAGATCCGAATACAGCTTCTTAATGAACCGTGCAAAAACTTTCGGCGCATTGGTTAACCCAAAGGGACAATACAAGAATTCATATTGTCCGAGAGGCGTTACAAAAGATGTGGATTCGACCGATTCTTCCGCCATGCGAACATTATAGTAGCCGTCTTTCAAGTCAAGTGTGGTATAGTAGCGTTTACCCTTCAATCGATCAATGTTATCGTCAATTAATTGGCTGGGGAAATTATCTTTAACCGTGATTTTATTTAGTTCGCGGTAGTCCACGCAGAGTCGAGTTTCGCCGCTCTTTTTCCTGACTAAAACAATCGGACTGCTATACGGAGATTCGCTCGGCCGTATTATATTCCGTTTCAACAAATCGTCTAAAATAATTTGCACTTTCTCCTTATCCGCGTACGAAAGTCGTCGCGGTCTAAAACTAATTGGCTGTGCGTGTTTCAGGACAATTTTCATTTCGAAATCGACGTGTTCCGTACTCGAGTTCATCGTTTTTATGTAATCTACCGCGTATGAGTCCTTAAGGCAGTATTGTCGTGTATAGTGCTGTTTTGGAGGTAATTTGTAGGATAGAATAAATTTAAAACTGTTGGGGTTTTCTTTCTAAAATTTTTTACACATATTTATTGCTTCGTTAGAAATGTGCACAAATTAAAAAAAAAAAAAAAAAAAAAAAAAAAAAAAGAAAAAAAATGTTATGTATTTTTGTATCCTTGAATACGATGGTGCGCGGGAAAGACCTGTAATTAGCAACCAATGTTGTGGACGTTGTATACATCTAAAAAAAATAAACCAAACATATTCTTAATTTATACGGGTGTTGTGATGGTTGGTACCAGATACGGGCAGGAAAAATACTTCTTTACAAAATGGCGGTATGCTAAACTGTAATATCGATTTTTCCTATGTTTTTGTCTCTTCTACAAGTTAAAAGAAAACACAACAAAAACATTTTGGCTCAATTGTGCTACCAACGTCAGAAAACAGTCTACTGAAGGTGTATACTAAATTTGAGCTCAATCGGCCAATTGGTTTCTGAGATATCGTGGTTGCCAATTTGTAAAACATCGTTTTGAGAAAACCACGTTTAAAGTTTTCGTACTGTTTGATGAGGTTTGAATGAAATTATTGATTCTTACTAATTAATCAGCCAACCCGGATCCATAAATGGCTCCTTCCTCTGTCTCGTGAAATTGATTTTTGTCAGACAGTGCTTCTCTTCTAGCAGTCCTAGCTTTTTTTGAAGCGGCTGACGCTCGTCTTTCGGAACGGTCAATTCTATTTTGGTCGCGTAACATTGCATATGTCTTTGCTTGCTGTCCGATTTTGACACCCATCGTGTCTAATATTTTTAATATGCTTGAAAACCCTTCGTTAAAAATGCAGGCAGCCAAAAAAGTGGCGATTTCAACCGTAGCGGTTCCAGAGTGAATATGTTTAGGAGCAAAAGTCCAAATCAATGAATTTAGAGATTCATTATTATTTTGCGTCTCCGCTCCTAAGCACCGCTCTAACAAATCCTGTGATGAAAGATTTTCATATACAGGTTTTATAGCTTTTAAAACTTCATCACAAAGAGGTGGTTTATCATGACTAAATTCCTCGAGCGATCCAGCAGTCTCTGCGTTACGCCACTTACACCAGCTTGAAGGTCCCGGAGGGCAATATGTGTGCTGAGGATTTTCGTCACTCGAAGCGTAATGATAGAATGTTGACCATACAGCCTTCTTCATTTCTTCGATCGAGTGACAATGTCTTCTAATAGCCAAACCATAGTAAATTGTCAAATCACCGATAACCTTGTCAGTCAATTTTCCTTTGCCTTTCCCACCTATGCCTTTACTCTGCTTTTTCACGCTGCGTAATCTTGCCCCCATTCTTTTTGCAACATGCCCAATACACTCTTTTTTTTCTACAATTGTATCTTCGCCGTAAGGGCACGCGTCTACAATTGCTTTATATGTTTTGCAATCTCCATCGCCGATGTATCGAGTATATTTTACACCATATTTTTCCACCGATCGAAAAAACATTTCTACTGCCGCGTCGACTTCCATCTTACCCGCACTGCCATGGTGGTTATTACTACATTTTTCTTTGTGATTTTCAAACCAAATATCGAATTCCTCAGTAGCCATTTTGCTTTTCGATAAGGCACAAGCTTGGCAAAAGCTTGATTTGATCACAGCATCTAGCACTTTCTTGCTGTATTTACCGATTAAAGTAGTCACACCAAATCGTGAACTAAAACCTCTTTTTTTCCAAGTCCCATCCCCTGACACTGTTAGATTCGATGATGAAGATTCTGTTTCAAGAGTCATTTCTTTCTCCTCATCCATGGCTCTTTGCAGCACGCAATTGTACACAGCTGCAGACGCGGAATGAAACTTTTTCATCACAGAAGAATAACACGATGTTGAAAGTCCAAGTCCGATATCCATTATCCCGCAAAATAAATTCACTCCTTCTCTGCCAATTCCTAACAATCGCATTGCCACTATAATCAGACGATTGACTTCAAATGCTTTATCGATAAACGGAGAAGAGTTTATATACTGGAAACCGCACGTACATTGCAATTTGATTTTGAAACCTAACCCGCGAGAGCTGGTTTTAGTAAAATGAACTTCGTTTTTACAGGTCTTGCAAATAACAGAAGCACTGATTGCAGCAAAAGCAGTGTAAAAATTTAATATACAATAACCATGTTGTATATCAAGCGGAATTTCCATGTCACCAGTTCTTCGCAACTTTGCTGCTGTTGCACTTATTAAATTTTCACTCATTTTCTCAGCATACTGATTGCCCCTAAATTTTCTTTTTTTGGTCACTGAACTCCGACACGCGCGAGAAATATTTGTTTTCGTACCTTTCCTACTACTCATTTTGCTCCTAGTTTCGCTAGTTTTGGGTTTACTAATTCAATACAGTACAATGTTATGTTCGAGCAGATCCGAACAGGTCTATCGTTATAATGTATTGAAATAATAAGCTGCGCGCTCGTTTGTTACCGCGCTTCGCATTGTTACCACGATTTGTTACCTAGCCAACAAGTCATAGTAACAAATGTAGACTATATTTTGTTTTTGCTTACCATCACTTGTTATTTGGTTCGCTATATTGTCCGCTAATTGATGAATTTTATATCCGATATAATATCGGATAATAATAAGTAACAAATGTAAGTAACGCAGTGATAGAGACGCGCGGTTCCTTCTCAGTAAGAGCGCGCAGCTGCGTCTTGGCCGCGCTCCCAGACTGAACTTATAATTTCTATAACTCAGCTGATTTTATGAGTATCGTTATACGGTTTTAACAGGCGTAATTAGAAAGGTTTGCAGTATAATAAAATTCGAAAAACTCAAAATCAATTTTTTCAAATTTCTGCACGACAATACTGCCTTAATAGCCAATTTCTCGGAAGTGGTAAACGGTTCATTAATACAATCGATATTCATAATTTGTGTTGTGGCTACGTCTACTTCTTTTAGCGATTTACTTCTCCGAGATACTACGAGCCCGTCCTCGAAAGACAATTTCACCAATGGGTGGGAGGAAAAATCCCGACCGAGTACTGCCATAAACGACATTGTATCTTCCGGAACTACGTAAAATGTTAATTCAATAGGGATTCCTTCTACGTCGACTTCGCAATTAAAAAGGCCTGAAATTTCCATTCGCGAGCCGTTAATTCTCGCAAATTCCTGAATGTTATTCGACAACGGAGTCCGCGCTTCTACCGGGACAATACTATTTTTAATAAAACTAATCGGCGATCCGGAATCTAACATGGCGCTTAATACATACTTACAATAGTGATTGTTCTTATCAATTACGCTATAACTCAGCTGGAGGAGGTACGGCGCTGGAAGGGTTGGTTGAACCATGTTTGTTGAAGTGGTCGCGCTCGGTTCCCTCCGTGCGCTGCTTCCTTCTCGCAGATTCGGCATTCGTCGCGGGCAATTCCCGAGTTGATGGGCCGTCGACCCGCACCCGAAACAGGATCCGGACTCTCTTTGTTTCGGTTTTGGGCATCTCAGGGAAATATGTCCGGGTTCCCCACAGTTGAAACACCGCACTGGTTTCCTCTGCGCCTCCGGCTTCTGCCTCTCCCTCGGGTCGCTGTGCCACTTGTTGATAACTTGTTTCCGTTCACCGGGAACAATCTTCTTTGGTTCGACAGTAATGTTCTCGAACGCCTCCAATAAATCTGCCGTGGTTCGGAACCGTAATATTCGGGCCTGGTCCCGAAGCCGCAAGTCGGTGATCCCGTCGATGAGGTAATCAATTAATTCATCGTTCGGGATCGGTACTCGATTCCTCAAAATCACCTTATCGTGGTGGTAATCCGAGAAGCGCTCGCCTGCGGTCCACACCCTGTTTTCGAACTCTTTGCGCGCCGCTAACTTATTCGGACGATGATCGAACATGGACTTCATCTCCTGCAACAGCGTCTCGATATCCATTATGAGATGTTCCGCTCTTGAGTGAAACCAACTGGCGGCGCGTCCCTTCAATCTCGAGCTAACCAAAATTCGTGTGGCCTTGTCGTCTAGCTCATACGTGTTTCGCAAAAGTCGTACCTGCTGCTCCCACTTCCAATACGTGTTGTCGTGACCATCAAATTCACCCAATAAATCGCTGATGGCACGTACACTCATATTTCTGGACGAAGCACCCTGACTGCTACCCATTGACAATCCTGGGCTGTCCATCAATCGATTACTCAATCCAGCTTGTTCACGGCGCAGGAGCTCAACTTCCCGCTGCAGAAGATCGCGTTCTCTCCGCACTAGTTCCAATTCTCGTGCTGCCAGATCGCTCTCCCTGTGTCTGCCGTCCCGAACAACCGGTCTAGTTGCTTCTTCTTCCTCCTCTCGTCGTTGCTGGGCCATTTCTTTCCCCGCCGCAATTACATTCCAAATGTCACTATCGAACTCCTCCAATCTCAGAATCAATTCTGATTTTGAGCCCGACACTGCCAAATTTCGTACACGCAGAAACTCTTTCAACTCGTTACTCGTGTAATCTTTCGACATGTTGCTGGTACGATTAACGTCGCTCGAGTTCACACAATTGCACCAATGCTGGATCCTCTCGCTACACAATATGTTAACCGCACTACCCTATGTCGAGAGACGCAATTATTCCACGATCAGACTGCTGAGCGAGACAATTAACACAATTCTCACTTAGTCGCACGCGATCGTATCTCGTCAAGAGGAAACAAGTTCTTTATCCCACTTCTGAATTTCTGTGGACAATTGGAGAGGTGGTAGGAAACTTTTACACTCACAATTCGGGTTAAAATGTTCTTTATTTTATAACAATGTACAGACCGACAAATCAACGGAGATCTGAATAAAAAAACTGACTGACTGACTGTGACTGACACTCTGACTATCTCTGATTCTGACTCTCTCGGGCGATCGGGGCCCGGGCTTATATACCCCCAGACCCGATCGTCTTTTGGCTCTTTCGTACCGGGTGCAAAACTTCCCGGCGCGTGCCGTGGAACCTTCTCGATCGTTCGACGATGTTCCACGGACACGTGCAGCCGATCGACTTTTGCACCCGGTCCGAACTGGCGGCCCGCGGCCCACGGCCCCCTTTGACGGTCTACAAAGTAAAACAAATCTAACGGTATATGTAATACAAATAGTTATAGCGGGTAATACCGTACAGTGTACGGAAATTTCCGAAACCGAATTTTGGCTTTCAACGACGTGTAGTTACAAATACAAACGCAATAAAGTGATACATCGACCATGATCTCATGCAAAATAGTCTTACAGTATGAAATATAATACCGTCACTACAGAATTTAATAAAAATATGTATTTACGGCTTATTTTCTGACGTTACAATGTTGTAACAGCGAGTACAAAACCACAACACATCCAACTGCACCGAAATCGTTGCGCGGAATGACGCAATAACTGACGAGGATGCGAAACACTACTAAACGAACGAGTGTGACAAAGGCAAACATATGTAACTCGATTCCTTCCGTGTAAACACTGCTGTACGGTATTAGTCTCCGCTCCCCTATTGCTCGCAACTTTAGCAATTTGCCTTTCAGTACGAGGGGATAACTTCTTCTTAGGTCCCCCTTTCTTATTTTCCCCATACTTAGTAGTATCTCGTAAAAAATTCAGTACAACTTTATGAGATCGCCCGAGTTTACGTGCGATTTCGCGTATCCCCATTTTTTGCTCTTTGTACACAAAATTGCACCTTGCTCTTGTTCATTAACCAGTTAACTGTGGCGCGCTCGTTTGAGTGCGCGCACCGTTTTGTGTCGCCAGAATCGAGCCATGACGAGTATACTCGTCAATCACAGAGTAAGTTGCGCTGGTAAGATATTGGATCAAAAAGATGGGTTTATTTTATAAAATTGACAATTTTATTAGTAATATTTACTTATTTGTTTAACATACACATGTATTACATACATATGAAACTAAACACGCAATAAAAACTAAATATTATACATATAAAAGGAAGAATTTAAATTCTTGCTGTGGAGTGGTATTCAGCGAAACAGGGTACTATACACAATGGGACTTTACAAATGGAACACCAGTAACGCGATTCCTTCCTGATCTTACGTTTATAGCAGTGTGAACACCTTCGCGTAGGGTTGTTTGTTTTTGAAGTTCCGGGTATATAATCCGGAACATGATTTCCGCCTAATTGGCTTACATTAGGTCTAAATGGCCGGGTTTGTGTCGATTTTTCTCTTTGAATTGGATACGTCGCAAGAGTGTCTTCAATAAATTCTAGCAAATAGTTGATTCGCGATAATGTTCCATTATTTTTTTTATATAATACAAATGCATTCAGACAAATTATGTCTAAGAAATGGAGAAATATTTTTTTATAGTACTTCTTGAGTCGTTTTCTTGCTGTGGAGTACGCTATGATAATTCCATCGCTCATATCCACTCCACCCATTTTTTTATTATAATCAATCACTAGTTCCGGTTTTCTTGTTATTATTTTCCTTTTCTCTGTTTCTATTATGTTGTCATTATGTACAGTACTTACTAAATAAACGTCCCTTTTATCTTTCCATTTCATTAACATAATTTTATTTTTAAACCTAACAACGCATTCGCCTTTTCTAATAGGGGTTTGTATCACTTCTGAAGAAATGCCAATCCTATTTTTCCGAATGGTTCCAACCACGTCCGTCTTATGCATGCATAATTTTTCCATCAATGGAATGCTGGTATACCAATTGTCTAAATATAGTCTATATCCACGATCTAAAAGGTCGCTACATAACTGCAGTACAATACGTGCAGAAATGTTAAATTCTAGATAACGTTGGTTATAATCAGTATCTTTTCCGGTATATATGAAAAAATTCCATATATATCCCGACTCACTCTCGCATAAAACAAAAAATTTTATTCCAAATCGACTTCTTTTTGATGGGATATATTGTTTCCACGATAATCGTCCTTTCCACATTAACAGTGATTCATCTATACAAATATCCATTTGCGGAATATATAAAATTTGACACTTTTTTACAATATTGTCCAAAACCGTTTTGATTTTAGTCACTTTTGTTCTTGGCCTCGTCTCATCGCGAGGTTGGTTATCTTCGAAGTGAAGGAATTTACACAACAATAAAAATCGATCGGCTGACATAACTTTAGGAAAAAACGGCGTACGAATACATTCCCTGTTTGAAAAGTACATTTGAAGAGTGGGCTTTTTTACGATGCCCTGCAAGATCAAGAGCGCGATAAAGCATCTAATTTCATTGTTATTAGTCGGATACCATTTCCTCACCCTTGATCGCGGCTTTAGATTTGGATGGCTTTGTAAAAATTGTTCAGTATATAAATTTGTTTGCGTTACTATAATACTAATAAGCTCGTCATCTAGAAATTTTTCCATATAATACAAACTCTTATTTCTGTAACGTCTTGGTACTATTTGTTGCTGGCCAGGATTCGCAGAAAATTGAAAAGGTTCTCTGTTACCTCCTGTGGTATTCCAGGTAGCATTTGTGTCCTGATTTTCATTCTCAAATTCGTCGTCCTCGGAGTCAGTATATTCAGATATGCTGTGATCGGATTGAGTGTCAGGCTCGATGTCTTCAT